TCCCTACATTCAGTATTTTCCAAATGAGAAACCTTTTCTTGTGGGACACCTGACTCCTCCTCATCAGTAGAGAACTTTCTTCCTCACAGACCAACAAGGAGAGAGTGGACTGAGGATGCTTGGTGGTTAGGGTTGGACATTAGGGTAAAACCGTAGAGTTACCCATTTCATCTTCCCAGTGATAATCAGGTGCCTCAATGCCTTTAAATGTCTGGCTCCTTAAGGAAAAAATAAAATTAATTTGAGATTGCTGCCTTCTTCTGGCATAAAGAAGGAAATAACTGTTTCTTTTTAAGCCACGTAGAAATTTGTGTTTTGTGATTTGTGGTAGCTGTTCAACTCTCAGTCCATGTCCCAGCATCCCTTAGCAGCATCGGCCTTGCTGCGTGCGCCTGTGGAAGCGGTGGATAGTGCAGCCTTCCCCGACGGGACAAGCGACAGACATCGATTTATTTATTTGTTCTAAGAAGCGCTCGGAGTTGAAAGGGTTGGAGCTGACTGCACGCACAGACAGCACCTTGCATCCCTATGAAGAGCAGACTGGGAGACTTGTTCCCTGGGATAAAGCCTTAGTTTGTACAGGTTTTTGGATGTGTACCCAGGGCCTGGTGGGATGAGGCAGCCTTCCAGGCACCGAGGAATTCTCCATCATCTGCGTCTCAGCTCAATCCCAGAAGTGAGCAAGGGTCTGAAGGTAAAACCGTGGTAGGGCCTGATTAGGTGTCTTCTTGGGAGAGGGTTGAGAGCCAGTCACTGCTCAAATCCTCCACCCTGATCATGCAGACACTCATCTATGTGCAGCATTACAGCGCTGAGCTTTCTGCCAGAGTTGCAGAAGCAGGTCCCAAGGGGTGCACTTGCTAATGGGCATTTGCCTTGTAGTATTTTGTCTGTGTGAATTCAAAGTGCTAGGCCAGAATTGGCTCTAAAATCAGAAAAATGTTCTGGAAAGGCAAGAAAGGAAACAGGAGGTAGAGGAAGAAAACAGGTGGAAGAATGTGTGGGTTAAGAGCCAAGACACTGGTATTTGAAGTGAGAAGTTTTACTTTAAAAGCTTTTCGGTCTGAATCATTAATTTATAAAACAAGATAATGGCTATGGCCCGAGACAAAATGTTAGGCTATTTCAAGCAAAAATTTGGCAATATTACAGCATTACCAGTCATCTACTGACGCAGGTTCTCTATACCTTTGTTGTAGCAGAAAACAGAGGTAGTGGTATAGGCTTGCCGGAGTGCTGTAGAGTGCCATGAAATTACCCCATTTTTTCCCTCCAGAGATTCAGAGAGGACTGGCACGTCAAAAGCACTGCAAAATCATAGATCTAAGTATCCCATTTAAAAAAGAGGAGGAAGAAGACCTCATAAGGGAGCACTGAAGAGAAGTGCAAAATATCCCCCAAATTCTTTAATAAATGAACAGCAGTTAAAGCCTGAATAAGTAACCAGAAGGAGGTACAGTGAAGTGATCTGCAGAATACAGAGCCATTGAAAACTTGATATACAGTTGCTGGCTAAGTTTGAGTGGCACTGGCCTATATAAGACAGCGCAAGTATTGCATTGCCAAACTCAAGAATGGCAAAAGCGTCAGGTCCCAAGAAATGAGGTGACTAAAAATAGGAGGTTTCTTTAGCAAATGCAAAATGCTAGTTTTTGATAAATTTCTATGTACTTGCTTTCCTATTTTGGAATGGTTAGGGGATGCTTGCTTCGTGGTTTTTGTCTGTAATTGCAAGTATTAGTTCCCACAGTGTAGTTGGGTAAGAGCCTATGAAAATCCTGTTTCATCATAATAAATGTGAAGTAACTGGAAGTTGCCTGCCCTTCAAAGAGAAAGGTGGACTACGTCTGTTAACCGGTAAGAAAGCGTACTGCAGTACAGGGCACACATGGTAGCTTGTTCCTGGAGACTATGGTTTTGTCTGAGTGCTGGGGCTCTTGGGTGTCTCCTGATTCCAGCAGCCAGGTCTCAGAGAAAGACTCAGTAATCTCATGCTGAGAAATACTGAGTAATATAGAGAAAACTCCAGAGGTGGCTGCACTGCCCTGTCTGGACACCTGAACCGCCAGTGCTGTTTTGTCTGTAG